ATTTTACTTTAGGAAAATTATGTGCAACAAATAAAAAAAAGTATTTTTTTTCTTTAAAAGTTATAAGAAAGGTTAACGTTTTGGAACCCTACCAAAATAAATTTGCGTGAAAAAATGGAAGATTGATAAGAAAATGGGATCTCGTAAATATCTTTGATTTTCTATGAATAGAGTATTTGTGAAAAAATAACGCAGAACTAAATCAATATAACTCTGAAATTTGGTATCAGGGGCACAAAAAGGGATAAGCTCAAAATCTTTACCAATGGCTTTTGTCGTTTGTTAATGTCAACAAAGTCTTTAACAAAATGAGACTTTCTACATAAAAAAATTGATTACTTTAAAAAGAGGTGTTTGGTATGGTGGCATAAATATGCCACCATAGTTACAGGATTGTAACCCACTCTTTAAAGAGGGTGTTGCAGAAACTCGTGATTATTCCCTATATCGAAAAGGACATTTAAATATACCACGACGCATGAAGAGTTGTCTTTAAAAATAGATATGCTACGTAGATGACTTTATTTATACGACGGGTATGTCCAGCTTGTTATAACAAAACATTCAACATTACGTTTATTTCATGCATAGTTTTTTCCTAACATAGACTAGCGACTTGTAAGTAAACTTTTTTTCACATCTATGGTCACTGTCGCCAAATTGCACGAGAAAAGTTAGAACGATAAAAAGCACAATTAATGGCAAGTGCACCTCACACATCATTTTGATAGCTATACTGTAGACAGCGTGCGTTAATATTTTTCAATATATAAAAATGTATCCAATAATTACGCTGTTGATGCAATATCCAAGAAATTCCATTGAGTCATTTCAATTTTAGTTGTTTCAAGTCAAATCTGAGTCACTAATTAACAGAACAAAAATGAAACAAAATGCGTATGAAAAAATTAAATTATTTAAAATGATAGTACTTTATTTTTTTAAGACATCGCCACTAAATAGCGTGAAATTTTTAAAATAGCGAAAAGAATTTTCTATTTTCTAGAAAATAAGTATTTTCCCATTATTTTTTATTGTAAATAAACTATAAAACATCCATGTATTATACTTAGATATATTTTTTAAATTTTTTTTTCACAAATCGAAAGTAAAAGGATAATAAATAAAGAGAGAGGGAGAGAGTGGGGAGGGAGAGATAGAGAACGTGTGAGAGAGAGGGTGGGGAGAAAGAGTGGAGAGAAGGTGGAGAGAGAGAAGTGCAGAGAGAAGTGCAGAGAGAGATGAGAGAGAGTGGAGACAGAGAGAGAGAAAGAGTGGTGACAGAGGGGGGGGGGAGTGAGTGGGGAAGTGGGGAGTAAAGAGAGAATGGTAGAGAAGGAGGTGGGCAGGGAGAGAATGGGGGAGAGATTTTGGAGGGAATGGAGAGATTGAGGGAAAGGATGTGTGGGAGTGGCGAGAGAGATAGGGGAAGAGGGAGTGGGAGAGAGGTTGGGGAGATGTTTTCTGGAATTGGAGAGGTGGAGAGTGGGGTAGGTTGTGGTGGAGAGAGAGATTGGGGAGAGGGAAAGAGCTTGATATCATTTCTGTCTAATATATAAGATACGAACTTAAATACAACTTACCAATCAGTTTTTTACGTGTTTTTCAGTATATATATACAGCCACGCAGTTCACAAGTCTACGAAAGTAAAGTCTACAAGTTTGTCGAATTTTGACAATGAGAAATTATGGAGAGAAAACAGTGCCACAATATTTTATTTTTTCCCTAATTATTTTGTTTTTTTTTTCCAAATTTATTTCTAAAATTTTAATTTAATTTTTTATTTTAATTCTAACTTTTAGTTGAAAATTTTCAGTTTTTTTCCTTTTTTTTTTTTTTTTTTTTTTACCATTTTCTTAATGTCATTTTACTAACAATGTTTATCGATTAGTGGGTTCCAGTAAAAGTCCTTCTAAGCCTCTTTTTTTACTCCTCCTAAAATATTAACAGCATTGAAGGAGAAACTTCAGGAGTATTGTGCAACAATATATTTGAGGAATTGTGTAAATCAGATGTGGATACTTAAAAACTCAAAGGAACTTTTGAAAAATTTAAAATCACAAAATTTTACCAAAATGACATAAAAACGTACGACTTTTCAACTCTATATGCAATCATTCCCAACAATAAATTAAAGACCTGAGGCCCGTTTTACAAAAGAACTTACGACTAAGACCAAAAACTTCAGTTGATTGTAAAATTTTGCAAAATTAATTATTCTGATTAAAATTCCTTGAGTAAAAGTGTCTTTCTACACACTTTTTAAAATATTAAAGACATTTTCTATTTAATGTAAATAAGAAAGTTATCAGCAGGATTAAATTAAGTGCAAAACGGGCCCCAGGCTTTTTGACATCATTGACAGCTGCTTTTTCAATAAAAATGGAACTCGCAAATTTATTTACCTTGTCATTGGTCATTTACCAACTTATCTTGTTAAAAACTTTCTGATTGTAAAAACAAGTACTCTAAAGTTGATATCAAAAAGATACCTGAGTTTCTGATTGACTATGTCTATGTGGTTTTTGGAGACCTGGTCTTCCGACAATCTGTCGGAATTCCCATGGGTACAAATTGCGCCCCGTTATTACCAGACTTATTTTTGTAATTATAAGAAGCAGAATTTATTCAAAATCTTATACATGAGAAGAAGAAAATACTTGCTGTGGCATTCAACTCGACATTTAGATATATCGACGACATATTATCAATTAACAAAAGTAATTCCCATTCATATGTCGACAAGAAATATCCCAGTGAGCTTGAAATTAAAGATACCACAAAGTCTGACAGATCTGTTTCGTACTTGGATATTTTACTAGAAAAAGACGTTAATGGTAACCCAACGACAAAGCTTCAAGATAAACGGGTTGACTTTAACTTTTCAATCGTCAACTTCTCTTACTTATGCAGCAATATACCCATATCACCTGCAAACGGGGTTTATGTCTATCAGTTGATTCGTTACGCAAGAGCATGCTCTACGTATGAAAAATTTCCAAAACGAGGTAAGTTATTGACAAACAAGTTGATGAAACAAGAATATCAACAGTCTGGTTTAAACTCATCATTTCGTAAGTCCTATGGTCGGTACAATGACCTTATAAGCAAAAAATCTATCATTAAGTCAAATGCTGACTGACATTTTTCATACTAATTGTTAGGCCATTATTTACACACTGAATTGTCGATGGAATTTTCCGTTAGGCCTCTTTCCCGATGTATCTGACCGGTCGGCAGGGATGCTGACTTCTCCATGACACCTGATCCCACCTGTGACGTTTAAGAGGTCCTTGTTTGCTTTGTTCCTGATTAGTATTGTTTGACTTTTGAGCTTGAATGCTGTTCTTTATCACCATATTTCATGATATGAATTATTTCCCGCTTATGCACGGTATGCGGGGATCTAGAGGGGCTTATGCACGGTATGCGGGGATCTAGAGGGGCTTCGGTTTTTAAGGTCCCAGCCGAAAGACCATTGGCTTTCAATGCCGAAGGAATAGTCACTATCTACATGTATGTTAAAATATCTAGGTGTGACACTGCACCAGAGAGATTGGACAATCGAACTCTGAGCTTCCATGGCGTACGAAGTTATCGCCCATAGACAATAGGCTACTGTGATCAGCGCCGCAGTTACATGTATTAAGAACTACTTTAATTGCAATGATATCAAATTTTTAAAAATAACCATCCAATAAATGCAGGTTCGTGACAACGTTTTTAGGGGGGGGGGGGGGTATTGATATTTGGAAAAACAAGAAGTTCGAATGCAGCTAGAAAAAAAAACATTAAGAAACTATGGTACTAATACTCCTCCATATTTTCTCATTATCAAAATTTGGCAAACGTCTAGACTTTACATTTGTAAACTTGTGAATTGTCTTTCGGCAATATAGGTAGCAGAAAACATGAAGAGGGATGAAAGGATAACTTACAACACATGCAAGTTTAATATCTTGTTTCCTACAAGTAGACGAAGTGTAGGAGTATGATATCAAGCGGGGCAAAATTACAGTAAATTCTGAAGTTGTATTTTCGGAACAACATGCTAAAATTGTCGCCTGCGTGGCGCAGTGTTTAGAGCGTTTGCTCTAAAGTCGCGGAGTAAGGAGTTGATCCTTACGTCGCGGGTTCAAATCCCACTGGGGGACGTGGAGACCGGTTATAGGGGATGAGATGAGACCGTATAAACCGTGGTCCCGTGTCGCAGTAGGTGCTGGCACGAAAAATATTCCTCACTGCTCAATAGCCCTGACTGCCGAGTGTAGGTCAACATTTGCAACTCTCCACCGGCAAGTGGTGGCGTCTCCATATGAGTGAAAAATTCTCGAGAGGGACGTTAAACAACAAACAAACAAAACATGCTAAAATTAATCTGAATTACCTACTTGCATGTCTAGACTGTGAACCTGCTACGATTGCAAATTCGGATTTACAAACATACAAGTCTGGACATTTGAATACGATTATCCTTCGTACTTTAGCACCTTTTCTCATGACGGCGTGGGGGTGATATTTCTATGGGACCATTTTTCAACGTGTGTGGAGTCGTAGAATACCGGCCTGGAAGTGTTTTCTACGGTCGAAAAATGACCTTACTTGCCGTAGAATATTGACCGGGGGTCACTTTTCCACCTAGGAATTTGACCCCTCGGTCAATATTCTACTGAGGTCACTTTTCCTCGTTACACTGGTCGGCCTGCCAGAATCAGACCAGCTCATTCATTTATGTAGGTAAGCTTTAGAATTCTGTTTTAAATTTAAGACTGCAAATTGTCAAAAAACAAACAAACAAACAAACAAAAAAAAAACACCCCCCCCAACTTCCAAGTAATTGATGTACCATATAAAGTCGCATATATAGCATTTGGCAAGGTGTTGATTACATACATATTTAAATGACAGTGTTTAAATTTTAATACATATTTTTACGGGGGAAAAATGTAAAACACACCTTAATGGCCAGCCTTATGTTACTTCCTTCTAGTAGTAGTGGCCTAGTAATTACACAAATGGCTGATATACTTCAAGATCGAGAACGTGAAAAAAAGGTATTGCAAATATTGTGCTCCACTATTTTTTTTTAAGTTTACCTTTGTTGTATTCAAGCCAGAACACGTTTTATTTATGACAGGTAAAAGGTTAAAATAAACCAGCATAATATATGCATGATTTAATTATCTTTACTTTATTGTTTTGATCAAAATAAATACGTCTGAAATAAGTAAGATTAGAATTATTCCCATTTTTGGATGAAAATGCATGTTCATATTATAAACAGCAGCAATATATTTAAGGTCAGAATATGCATATTTAAGTGCAACAGCGATAATATTTAAGTGGGTCAATAGGGAATTTCCATATAAAAGTTGTGTGCATTTTCCTGCACTGTTTATGCAAAGACGGTGCACTTGTCAGGGCATGTTTCGATAATTTTTTTGAGGTCGATTATTTCCATATCATATCATGTCCGAACAGTATGACGATTTTTCAGGTTGACAATTTTTGTTTAGATCTGTTAGAGTAACCATGCACTGATCATGCATTATTGGAAAATGGATAAAAGAATGGATTGTTTCTAGAAATCATTGACAGACTAAGGAAATATAAAAACCTAGGCTTTTTAATGAAAAAATATTGTGATTTAAAAACAATAAATCCTTTAAAGAAAACTATAGTTTATAATCATGATAGTACATTTTATATACTTTGATGAACAGTAACACTGATTTTTAAAATTTTTTGCACTTTGATTTACGAACGCTCACTTTTCATTTGGGGGGGGGGGGGTTGTATTAAATGGTAAACGGGCAGAAACAACTACCAAATTCCACATCAATGATGATAAACTAGGAAATAATCACAGGCACTTGACGTTACATATTTGTCTTATAAGTCAAATTATTAGGTATGGTGTTATATATTTTTAAATGAGACAAATATGTATAACGTCAAGTGCCTGTGGAAATAATGTGAGGATCACAAAAACAAATCCGGAGAAATATATATATATATATATATATATATACAGGGTGTTTCAGAAAACATGCAACCATTTTGATTAATTATATTTTACTGGTGCCTCAACCAATACCATGCACCAACATATCAAATTAAAAGTCAAAATTTCAAGATTTATTCTTATGAAAATAATGTTAATCTGGCAAATAGATAATGATTTACAGAAGGAAAAATAAACTCGTAAAATTTTACTTAGTTACAAAATAAGTTCTAAATGGCGTCACTTTTGCTGAATGAATAAATCTATCTGATGCAAGAAAGTTCTCATTTCCAGTAAAAAGAGTCTCTTGGTAATGAATCAGGTTTCATTTTTCAAACCATTTTGAGTTTGTTTATTGTTTTGGGGTCTGTTTTAAAAACTTTGACACTTAAATATTCCCAAAGATAAAAGTCAAAGGAGTTTAAGTCAGGTGAGTGTGGAGGCCCAATTTAATGGATTTGAAAGAGTTGAACGGTCCTCAGAGCATTTGTTCTAACCAGTCCAAGGTTTAAGATTGAAAAAATATTTCAGCATCCGATATACACTTGACTTGCTCAATTTTGAGTCGCATTTGTTCACAAGCTCAGTTATTTTACTAAAGGGTTTTGTGTGAGTCTCTGGAACAATGCCTCTTTAGTAACATTCTAAATGTTTTCATGTGTTCTCATTGTCTTTTTCATCCAATTTTTCCTTTTCTTTGATCATGCATTAACTCTTCCATTAGCTTCAAAATTTTACAGATTTATACAACTTCCACTTTCTTTTACTAAGTAAGTTCTTTGCATTCTGTAAACCTTATTTTCATTGTCCTAATCTCAGGAACTGGTAACATGCATTGATAAAGCATTTTCGGAACTTCTGATGATTCCTTCTTATTAATTTCCTCATTAAGATTGAAAATACCTGTTTTTTAGTGATGTCAAATATGACGTCATTATTAATTCAAATTATACTTATTTCATAAATTTTTGTTATTAGTAAAAACTTAAGCCTTTTTAGCATAATTGTACATAAAACTTTCATATGTTTCTGTTTGCGTATCAACAAAGTGAGGAAAGTAAATGGTTGCATGTTTTCTGAAACACCCTGTATATATATATATATATATATATATATATATATATATATATATATATATATATATATATATAACATTCTGAGTTATATCATTCAGTGAAAACTTTAAAAGGTGGATTACGCATCAGAAGAAAGGGAAATTAAGTTTACTATTATAATATTTTTATTATGATTATCATTTATTCAAAGTCAGCTTTGAGATTATCTTTGTTAAACATAATAACAATTTCCAAGATTAAGTTGAATTTGTTCAGGAATCGTGCTTTTTTAAAAATAAGCATAAATTCGATACTGCATTTTATTTTCTTTTAGTTACCGACTTATCCATTTCACACGTACTACAGTTAAGAATAAATCAAGGAATTAATTCTTTTAATAGAAAATTTCCCAACCCCGATTACAAACCTAACTGCTCGAATACTTAACGGTGGTCTCCATATATGACGCCCAGCTCTGGCCTTTTCAGTTTGTCGTCATTTTTGTTAGTCTACCAAACTCTTCTTCCATCTTATACCCAGTCAATTCATCTTTGAACCTCTTTTACTATGTATAAACCTGTGATCGACACATGTATTTGTGTCGTTCCCTCGTTCCAAGCTCTTTTTGCGTGTGAACAGGAGTCAAACCCCGCGCTCAACAACACTGAATGATAATTTGGTGCTCCGCATTCTCGCTCGAAGTCGCCGTTTTTGACAATATCTGATTAATAGTGTATGTGCATATAACGTCATATTTTTGTTATTTATGATGTCAGAGTATTGATTTTTAACACATGATCGAGTTTTCTAGATCATAAAGTTTCTAAGAATATAATTTTTGTCACATTATATTTCCGTATAGCCTGGTATTAAAGAAAACAGTGCTGTCAATGCTATTTTTGAAAGTCAAGAATTTGCCGTGCCCCGACCACCGATATTTAACACCCTTTAAATGTTGTTTATTAAATGCGCATGGCATTGGAACCTCATATTATTTAGCCAAAAATGACAAAAATATCATTTCCCAACAATATGCCAAAAATGAATAATCTTATTCAAGTAGTTTATGAAATATTTAAAAAGTTCGCGTTTTTCTGGGACAACTCTCGTATTATATTTGTTTTTCTCTCGAGAATTTTTCACTCATTATCATATATGGAGACGCCACCACTTGCCGATGGAGGGCTGCAAATTTGGATCTATACTCGGCACTCATTGCCATTGAGCAGTGAGAGATCTTTTTCGTGCCAACACCTACATGTACTGCGACACGAGACCTCGGTTTATACGGTTTCTTCCGAAGGACCGGTCTCTACGTCCTCCAGTGGGATTCGAACCCGCGACGTAAGGATCAACTCCTTACTTCGCGATATTATAGAGATTGATTAAGGTGCAGGAAATCATCAACCTCCTGTGATTTTCAATGAAATTCAATGTATTAAATTTTTACCACTTATTAAAGGAATAAGATTCTATTATTTTTAATACTTCTTTCAGGGATCCCCTTTGCAAGAAACTGATAATAATATCAATGATTTTATCGAACTTCGTGTGTATCGTACTGGTAAACTTCCCTATTCGACGTAAGAGCTTTCTAGTCATTCTGAATTTCTTTTATTCGATTTTACCGATCATCATCTCTATGTTCTCACATCCTTTCTTCTTTAATATGTTGACGGTACGACCGTTAGGGCGAGCGAAGATACCTATATTCAGTTTTATTTAGATCGGGCTCTTCAAATCGCACGTGACATTTAGTATGTCTAGACTCTGACGTCACATGACGTCGCTTGTAAGTTTCATTACCAAAAGGAAGTCTGAACAGTGCTAATTTTAATAAAGAAGATTTAATCTACAATGTACTATTTATCTGCTATATATCCATCAAATCAAGGTGAGTTATTTTTTTTCTTTGAGCTTCTTGTTACCGCGAGAACGTTGTTAGCGGCGAGATGCAATTCGCAAAGCATTACGGGACCACAGGTAACTGCGGAAAAAAAATGTGCAAAGTCCGAATTTTCTCTTTGCCCAGGCGTTGCTTTAAGAACTCGCAGAGACGAGCGGCGCTTCGCGCCGCTCGCTGCGCTCGCTATAACCTTCAGGAGTGGGTTTTTTGTCTTACTGTTCATTTTCTGGCGCAGAAACTGTCAAGAGTTTCTTCTTCCATTTTACTTGTTGATCATCTTCTACCACCAACTATCCTCGCTATGAGGTATTTTTGCAAGCTTACCGATTGTATTTTTGTGTTCACTATTGTTAAACGGATTTGTCATTTCCTTAGTCTTACCTACTGTCTTCATTATTTTCCCATTTCAATTTCTTGTGCAATTCACCGTTGCAAAAGAATATTTTACATTTAACATGTCTTTCCAACCTTGTGTAAGTGGTTTCTTACATGGACACGTCATGAAAGACATCACATTCTAAAGCAACCTTTGAAAATTTGAGATAATAGATATGTTTTTTGTTTGTTGTTTAATGTATCTTTCAAGAATTTTTCACTCATATGGAGACGCCACCACCTGTCGGTTGAGGGCCTGCAAATTTATACCTATACTCGGCACTTAGGGCCATTGAACAGTGAAGGGTCTTTTTTGTGCAATCACCTACTGCGAAACGGAACCTCGGTTTATACGGTCTCATCCGAAGGACCGGTCTCTACGTCCCGCATTGGGATTCGAACCCGCGACGTACATGTATGGATCAACTCCTTACTTCGCGATTACATATCATAGAGATTAATCAAGGTGCCGGAAATCACCAACCTCCTGTAATTTTCAATGAATGTATTAAATTTTCACCACTTATCAAAAGAAAACGATTCTATAATTTTTGCTAAGTAAAAAATTCTGTCAATATGGTACATGGAAGGACATTGTACTTCTAAATTTATGAAATCTTACGTTATTCATAACGCAGGTAAGATAGCGATCTCATTAATTTAACGTAATTCTACGATGCATATTAGTTGAGTTCTATATGTTAATATCAATAAAGAAAGCAGCCCCAATTTCAGCTTGAACGTGTACTTGAAATTACGAAAGAAAAAAAAACTAGCACGTTATATAAGTAGGCAAAAGTGTTCTTGAACTTTCATCTTGGCCCTTGAAATTCATTACCAATTTTACTTACCTAATGTAATAGAGATTGAAGAAAATAGAAGGTGTGCAACTTTATTTTGACCGGAAGCCAATCAGTTAATTTCTTCAATATTAAACCATGACCTTTGTCTTCAAAAATAGGTCGATCATTTCTTAATTTTCAAATTCATTACGTTAATTCTAAGCCCAATTATTTGTTAAACTTGTATTTAAATTTTCCTTTATTTTTCTCGATAGGATCTTTAGCACTTGTAAACATTTGTTTCATAGATAGGGCGGCTACAGGAGTTGTTTAGGGGTCGGTTTTCTGTGGGACAGGCTCGCAGGCTTTTGGAACATCATGGATGGAATCTAGAAATTACGACGAACTTCATATTTGAAGGTACATATGTACATGTATTTTGAAATGGAATTTCTTTAATCTAAATATATAATTAAGATTTTAGGAGCTTTCAATCAAGCTTTTTATCATGTAACAGTTTACTTTGAGATTTACATGTATATGATACTCTTATTGTAGCCAAACATTCTCTGTATTTTTATATATTCTGATTTATTTTTTTGCCCCAATAATAAAGATCGGGGGCATATAGTTTTTACTCTGCCTGTTCGTCAGTCTGTCTGTTTGTCTGTTCTGTTTTTGCCCAAAATCTTAAACCTTGGTCATAAGTTTTTTATTAAATAATTCTATTGCTTTCATATTTCGTATGTTTATTCCTTGTGACATGACTTTTCTTTGGATACCAACGTATTTGACCTCTTGACGTTGACCTTGGACTAGTACTTTGACCCACTTTGCAAAAATTTTACCAAACTTTAACCTTGGTTATAACTTTAGAATGGTTAGTGAGAGAGCCTTCATACCTCACCTTTGTGACAAGACCTTCCATTGAGTAATTACAATTTTGACCTTTTGATCTTGACCTTAGAGACTGACATACTCTTGAAAAGCTTTAATATTGGTCTTGTCTTTTGAACAGTTGGTGCTAGGGCTGTTATTTTCACATATGTATTCCTTGTGATAAGGCCTTTCCTTGGTACCAACATTTTTTTATCTTTTGATCTTGACCTTGGAGTTGCCATACGGGGGCATAAGTGTTTCACAAACACATATTGTTTTTCTATACTCTAGAGTTTTTTTGTTACAATTAAATGATAGGTTGGTTCCCTACCTTTTTATCAGTTGTCATAGCTGCAGCTCTGTAGCTCGCTGGTCTGGAGAAAAAATTGAAATGGACGACCAGAGAGCTACAGTGCCACCCATGGAAAATAGTGTATATCTATTGCGCACAAATATGCGTTGTTTCTCGATTTATTTCTCAGTTTATACATAAAAATATTACCAATCGCGTGTTCCTTACATATTCTTTTACTACTTCAACAACAAAACTGTATGTACAAGTCATGTACGAAGGGCGTTGAACCGAATTGTCTTGCTACCCAAGATGGCAGTATAAATAGGCAAAATTTTCTATGGTCTCAATTTCAGGCCCAGGAGGACAATTTGCAACGGTTTTGGGAAATGTTTTATTGTCGTAGTAGTGAAAAAATAGGTAAAGAACACACGGTTTGTAATATTTTGAGACGGTAACTTAAATAATTATACAGAGAAATATTTACATTTCCAAAAATTTATCCTTAAGATTCTCTGCAAATTAAAAAAAAGTTCACAATCTCACAAACTACCGTGGATTAAGCAAGAATATCTCCATTGTACAGTAATTGGAGTCAAAACATAATGCAAACTTTTTTTTTCAAAAATGATTGAAAAATGAAAAAAATATGTTGCAAGTCATCAGAAAAATAATGTATATATAAGATATGAATTTAATTTTTGAGAATTCATGAGGTGCATGAACTACGTTTTATTGCTGGGTTAATTTTCCTGCTCATTCTTTGAGAAAGTATATGACATCATGACATCTGTTTTTACTTTATCTGATGAGTTTCTGAAATTAATTTTTGAAAACAGGATGAAATTATATATTGGTCTACATTTTATTAAAGTGCGACTTAGCCTAGTTCCATTTTACCTTGTACATGTGTGCACAGTATTACTTCACGACATTAAAGTTGTCATGATTTTATGACTTGTAACATAAAAAATCATTTATATGAAAGTGTTGTAATTTGGTTAAATAACAACAATTTCTTATGTAATTATTTAGGGTTTTTTGCTGATTTTATTGAACTGATAAAATGAAAAGAGTTCAATATTAAGTATAGCAAAATTATGTAGAATAATAATAAAAAAAATAATGGTCTATATCTGGATCAGCACAACATTTTTCACATATTTTCTCTAATATTATTTCAGCGGACCCAGAGGAGCTGAAGAGAGTGTCCCATAGCGAAGATGAAGGGGTATCTCTTTTTCATAAAAAAATGTATTTATTTTGCTAAAATCATCCTACTTCGAATCTGTTATTTCTGACGTTCTGTTGGATACAATTGTTTTAAAAAGCTTCACCAGATTTTATTGTGAAAATGATTTTCTCCTTTTCTTTATCACGTATAGGCCTTAGTTGAAAGCAGTTTTATGATTAAAATTCTAACTAAATTAAACTAATTAAAATTTATAAACGTTGTGTAGCGGGCAGTACGGTGTATAAATGGAACTTACACTGCCTCGGTAATGGCCAATAGCTTTTCGGGTAATGCGGTAAAGAATCTCCATCGATTCCGATAACGAACAGTATTCAAGCTCATAGTCAATTTAGACAATACAAATCGGGAGCAGAGTAAACACGGATCTCCAAAAACACCAGAAAAGGAATCAGGTGTCATGGAGGAGTAAGCATCCCCTGTCGATTGGTTATATCCACCGAGTGCTCTTTCTCATGGTCGAGTAAACAGAAAAAACCGCAGACAATTCTGATAGTGTGTAAACAATACCTAACAAATAGTATGAAAAACGCCATTCAGCATCTGACCCGATGATAGACCGCATTTGCCGATAAGGTCACTGCATCGAACATAGAACTTAAGAAATGAAGACTTCAAACGAGACTGTTCATATCCTTGTTTTATGAACTTGCTGGTTAAAAGCTTGCCTCATTTTAAAAATTGACCGCACACAGAGCATGCTCCCGCACATCGAATCAACCGGGAGACATAAACCGCACAGGCAGGCGACACAAGAAAGGGAAGCCGACGATAAAAAAGTTGAAGATATCACGTTTCGGGGGTATATAGTTTTTGCCCTGTCCGTCCGTCTGTCTGTCTGTTTGTCCGCAAAAACTTCAACATTGCTAATAATTTTTGATTGGTTGGAGCTATGATTTTCATATTTCACATGTGTATTCCTTATGACAAGACCTTTCTTTGGGTACCATCATATTTGACCTTTTGACCTTGACCTTGGAGTTTGACCCAGTTTTACAAAATTTTACCCAACTTTAACCTTGACCATAACTTTTGAACAGTTGGTGCTAAGGCTTTCGATCTTCATATGTGTATCTCTTGTGACAAAACCTTGCTTTGGATACCAGCATTTTTTACCTTTTTGACCTTGACCTTGGAGTTTGACCTACTTTTGAAAAACTTTAACATTTGCTATAACATTTACACGGTTGGTGCTAGGGCTTTAATACTCCACATGTGTAATTCTTGTGACAAGACCTTACATTGGATACCAACAACTTTGACCTTTTGACCTTGACCTATGAGTTTGACGTACTTTTTAAAAAAAAACTATAACATTGGCCATATCTTTTGAACAGTTGGTGCTTGGGCTTTCATTCTTCACAAATGTATTCCTTGTGACAAGTTCTTCCTTTTGATACCAACAACTTTGAGTCTTTGACCTTGGAGTTTGACCTACTTTTGGACAACTTTAACCTTGGCCATTTCTTTTGAACAGTTGGTGATAGGGCTTTCAATCTTTACAAATGTATTCCTTGTGACAAGACCTTCCTTTGGATATCAACAACTTTGACCCTTTGACCTTGGCCTTGGAGTTTGACCTACTTTGGACAACTCTAACCTTGGCATTTCTATTGAACTGGTGGTGCTAGGGCTTTCATTCTTCACAAGTGCAATCCTTGTGCGAAGCCCTTCCTTTAGATACCAACAATTATAGCCCATTGACCTTGGAGTTTGACCTACTTTTGGAAAACTTTAACCTTGGTCATTTCTTTTGAACAGTTGGTACTAGGGCTTTCATACTTCACATACGCAATCCTTGTGGTAAGACCTTACTTTAGATTCCAACAACTTTGACCCTTTGATCGTGACCTTGGAGTTTGACCTACTTTTGAAAAACTTTAACCTTGGCCATATCTTTTGAACGGTTGGTACTAAGGCTTTCATTTTTCACTTGTGTATTTCTTGTGAGAAAGCCTTTCCTTGGGCCCATTAATTTTGACCATTTGACCTTGATGTTTGACTTACTTTGAAAAACTTTAACCTTGGCCATATCTTATGAACGGTTGCTACTAGGGCTTTCATATTTCACAGGTTTATTCATCGATACAAGACCTTACTTTGGGTACCAGCATATTTGATTTGCATTTGAGAAAGTTTAACCTTCGCTATAAGTTGGTATACGGGGGCATCAGTGTTTTACAAACACGTCTGATTTTAAATTAAGTTTTGTTTTTAGGGTACCATTAACGTCTTTCTAGTAAAATATCCAAATATGAAACAGATGTGTCAGACTCTGTGGTGTCTTTTATTTCAAACTCACTAGGATATATCAAATCGATATATGAATAGAAGTAACTATTGGTAATTGATAATACGAGGTCGATATATCTTAATGTCGAGTTGATGGCCACAGCAAGCGTTTTCTTCTTCACATGTGGAAGTTTTTGAATAAAATCTGCTTTATATGAATGCAAAAAATAGGTCTGCTAATAACAGGGCGCAAACGGTACCTATGAGGACTCCAACATACCGTTGGAAGATTTCATACAAGTTAAGATACAGCGAGCCTGAAGCGCCCTTAGATGGGCGACCGCTTCACGTTACAGTTACTTCAAACTTTCGCCGTCTCTTTCAAACAGTTTATCAAATCGTTATGTTACTTGTAATTATGGCGTGTATGCGCTTCAAGTATTTAGACATAGAGTTCTCATTGTGAATTCTAAAAAAAAGTTCTTATTGATGAAGTGTAAATTCTTATTTAATTATCAGTACATTTTTGCTTCAGTGGCAGATAGTTTTAAACAACAGAGTTTGGCGGGAGCTTGCCAAACAAGCAAAGATACCGGAAGTTGACATTCGACAATTTGCATGTCGTCCCTGTGACAGCGTGTGGTGGCGACGGGTTCCGGGAAGAAAAACTGTACGTATGTCGTTTATCAAAGAACACCACCGTGTTGTCTTTTTCATAATTATATTTCGCCCTGGCTTATATTTTATAAATCAAAGCATGTGCTAATTACTTTCTACATACAATTTTGAAATTGCATGATTGGTTTATCAAGAAAACCAGTAAGTACCCTCCTCCATTTCTTGAAATAATGCGGAAACCATGTACTTATGTAATACGTTTTTTTTTCTTGAACACTCTAAAAAATGTGGGTTGTTATATATGGATTCTTTTTCAGATAATTTTCAAATGCTAAATTTTATTTATTATTATTTATTTATTGCTTAAGACAAACATCTTATCGCATTTCAACATATAATACAAAATATTACAAAATGGCATTGTATAGCGGTCCTTATAGATTACAAAAATATAATACAATATAACAATAATGATTTCATGAAGAATTACCATATGAGAGAATGCTTTCTCTCAATTTAAAAGCAAAATGAATATACATGTATTTTCCCTAAATTACAAAGATCATGGACATTGCGTGTACCTAATAATTGTACAAATTTAAAAACAGATGGTTTTTGCCAGTATTACAATTTGATATATTTTTTACGAAGCTTTTCAAAATGTGGACAAATTAAAACAAAATGGTACTCATCCTCTCTTTTACACATTCTGGACATTCTACTCTCCCTAGGTATTTTATTATGTCGTCCTGACTCAATTTCAAGGTTATGAGATGAAAGCCGACTAATTTGCTTTTTGTACATAGAAGGTATGGGCTTACAAAGATAATACTGTAAAGAAAAATTGTCTATTATATGCCTATTATATGTTTGTAAATGTTACATTTTGATGAATAATTGATTTCTTCCATAAGATTTTGAACGTCATTCAATCTTTGTTTTATAATTGGGGAAAAAATTCTATAACAAGCTCTATCTTGTTCACACCACATATATCCTAACCCAATTTCATACAATTTTTCTTTAATACAAAAGGCCCAATTTTTCTTACTGTTTTTCAATCTGTCACAGTTATCATATAGTTCATCATAACAGTTTTTTATTACACAATTCTCACTAGATAAAACCTTGAACCAGAATTTGAACATTCTATACAATCGAGTAATTTTCATAGGTAGCCAACCAGTTTCCAAATACACTGAAGCAGAGTTTGTGTTTTTCCTTACGCCTAAAACAGATTTTATAAATTCCAACTGTACTTTTTCTACGTCACTAGCATTATGACTACCCTAAACCTCACAACCATAGTTTAAAATACTTGTTACATAGGTGTCAAAAAGTGACAAAAGGGTTTCTTTATTAAGACACTTTTTTTACTTTTGATTTTAATGCAAACACGGCCTTCCTTCCTTGGTATGCTTGTTGCTTTTGTATACTATTGTAATTACCTTTGAAATTTAGTAACACACCCAGATAAACAAACTTATCGACAACTTCAATTGGGTGCCCCTTAATATTCCATTTTTCTGTTGACTTGATTTTACCTCCGTTTCTAAAAAATTCAATTTTTGTTTTTTCTATATTAACAGAAAGATCCCAGCGAGTTGTGTATTCGTATAATATATCTAACATCTTTTGAAGCTCATTTACAGTCTCAGCAAAGATTACCATATCATCGGCATACATTACTACAAATAATACAAATAGATTAAGTTCACGCAAGTGTACAGGAACAATATCATTCTTCAGAAATTCTACTTCAAAATCATTCACATATAAAGAAAAAAGTATGGGGGGATAACACTTCATCTTGTAAAAACAGCCTTCAGCACTGCGAAATTATTGCAGCCCGGAGGACCGGGCTGCTCTATACATATAAGTTTAAGTGTTGGTATATGGGGATTGAGGTGGGAGAAGTTATTCAGAATTAAAGGTTTTCTAAACATTAAAAAGATTGTTAATCAGAATGTTTTTTCCCTTTATAAATTACGAGATACACAATATATTTACTTCCATAAAGTGAATCTGTAAAAATATAGATGTTTTTCATATTTAATATATAAAGTTGCTTATCATTTACTCTCGAAAAAACGACAGGTCCCTTTTTTTAGAACATCGAATTTTACTTATCGCATAAAAACGTAAAAACGTACTTTACACAGTTCGTGTTTTATATTCTTAAAATGAAAGACATTTTTGAAAATAGGTGATGTATGTGTCTGGTTTCAATTTATATTTTATGCAGCCAACATTTACTTGAGGAATTGATAAAGTTTAAAAGGGTATCGTTTTTGTTCGATTTTCATCCGACTATAGGTTTTCAAAATATTCTCGACTATCGTCTCCATCATTTAGACGCATGCCTTTTTCACACATATCGAAGCGGTTTGATGATGAAGACTCATTTCCATTGTTTACTTTATTTACTTCCCGGGCGACAATTGATGGTTACATCAATGTTTTCTTGTGTGTGAATGATATGCATTTCGACCTCACAACAGTTGAGTTTTCTACTTACGTAAGATTGTTCTATTTGTAATTTTTACTGCAATATTTAAATTCACGTGACATGATTATTTGTTTGCGTATATGAAGATTAAAAAATTAATGGCACAAGTGTATTTTTTTTTCTTCTTAACCAAAGCTATAGAAATTCTGATAATTACAAAACTTGCAATCTCCGATATGGGCAAAAAGGACTATCTTGTAACTTTTATGCATATTGTCACTGTCGAAAACTCTAGTCACTGTTATACATGTACTTATCTGTCACTGTCGAAAACTCTAGTCACTGTTATACATGTACTTATCTGTCACTGTCGAAAACTCTAGTCACTGTTATACATGTACTTATCTGTCACTGTCGAAAATTCTAGTCACTGTTATACATGTACTTATCTGTCACTGTCGAAAACTCTAGTCACTGTTATACATGTACTTATCTGTCACTGTCGAAAACTCTAGTCACTGTTATACATGTATTTATCTGTCACTGTCGAAAACTCTAGTCACTGTTATACATGTACTTATCTGTCACTGTCGAAAACTCTAGTCCCTGTTATACATGTACTTATCTGTCTGCAGAGAATGTACGATTATCACGAGCTTGATCACGTTTAACTTTGGCAGAGGAATTTTTTTTTTAAAATTTGTAAAATTTGTGTACAAATTATTCTTTTGTTTGTCAATGAATTACATGTATTATAGTAATAAATGTCATAAACCATATCATTCAAGGCATTATTAATAAAACATTTTTTGTATTTTGTATCAAGCATTAAATTCATAGTTATACATAAATACATTTGTAATAGTACATTCTATCCTGTTCGTGAAATCTTAAATTTTGTATAAACTAGCTGAATTTTGCATCATGCCTTATAAATTACAGGTTTCAAAATGTCATCGATGTAGAGTTAGATACGATGCAATACCGAAAGAACATGAATGGGGCCTAGCTCAATTTGAATGCGACCAATGTGGAAATGTCTTTATGTAAGATCTGGTACTAAAATATTAGTTTTTCATAGGTTTAAAAATCGTTCATTTGTCTTACTGGTCATACACGCGGTAAGCAGATAGTTTCCCGTCGTCAATGTGACTGTATGTAGAATTATATATCTGTTTTAAACTCACCTGAGCTGAAAGCTCAAGTGAGCTTTTCTGATCACCCGTTGGACGGAATCCATCTAGCTGTCTGTCTCCGTCCATCTGTAAACTTTTCACATTGTCGACTTCTTCTCAAGGATCACTAGGCCAATTTTTACGGAAATTGGCACAAATCATTCTTGGGTGAAGGGAATTCTAAATTGTTCAAATACTGAACCAAGTTCTATTCTGCCAAGAAAAGGCAAAAATAGGGTGGGGTCACTAAAAAAATCTTCTTCTCAAGAAAATCACTGGGCCTGCAGAAAAGATGAAACTTACATGTATATGAAAGCTTTTTGACGAAACTAAGATGTATATGAAAGCTTTTTGAGGTACTGTAGATTCTAAATTATTCAAATCATGGCCCTCAAGGGTAGGATGGGGCCACAATAGGGAATCAAAGTTTTACATTGAAATACATAGAAAATATTTTTTAAAAATCCTATTCTCAAGAATCACTGGGCTAGCAGAGACAAAACTTATGTGAAAGCTTCTTAAGTGCACATGTTTTAGACTCTTAATTTTAAAAATCATGGCCCAAGGGAAAGGGTGGGACCACAATAGGGGATCATTTTTTAAAATTAGAATATATAGGAAAACTTTTATAAAATGTTGAACCACAGGCTGTCTTTGATATGCATTTCCTTAATTCATTGTAGAGTTTTTGTACTTACAGTGTAGTATTTTCTTTTAACTTGACAGAACAATTTAAATAAAGGGATTTAATTTTACAAAATAAATATTTATAAATATAGTAAGAAAAGGTTAATTTTCTTATTTTGCAGAGGATTTGGACAAATGAATAATAATTATAGCCCTTGTTACGCTTGTGGAAATAAAGTCCAACCTGCCAGGATATTACCTAAAAGACGAAGCACTGGAGGAAACAGACGTCAAAGTACCCATTCCTGTTTTGCGTACAATTGCTATAACATAGCAGGTATGAATACCCCCTCCACAATCGCTGTTACAGAGCAGGTAATTATGACCCCCCCCCATCCCAAGAAATCCCGTCCGATTTAGCAGAACTCAATACAAGTGCTGTTAAGTAACGTAATCACCGATATTCCCCTCAGAGTGATTCGAGACAATTGGTGGCAGAATCTTGGATAGGTGGATCTAAGGGAAAAAAAACTACTTTTAGAAATATTTTCCTCTGATGTCATTGATAATTATAACATTCATTTCCTTAAATATGATCAATTATTTTGCTACCACGCGTTGTTCTTCTACTTTTTTGCAGATGGAATTTATTTCAATTTTATTTAGAATTAATTAAATTAATCTTGAAATTTAGCGATTTTTTTACGCAGTACAGTTAAGGCTACACATGAAGATAATATGGTAATGAGGTCATAATGAGGTTTGACGTCATGACAGTTGCTCCGCCCTGATAGATCTATATAAGGAAATAGAGCTCAAAAAAGTCATTTAATGATGATTGCGAGAATTTGTAATGCATGTCTGTATTTTCATGTTTAAATAAATAAACATTAGTGATTTTCTTTTATATAAAAACAAAACGTCTTCGAGATAATTCTCTTTTTTGGTGTCGTTTGGCTGCATTCGGCTTCAGCCAAGCGCTTGCACTCGGTGACATGGAATGTTTACATCTAAAAATGTGGCGACAGGAGCTGAGATATGCAGTGGATAAATGCAACAAGCAGGCAATCTTTAAAGAAGATATGGATAAAATAAGAAGCCTAAGCTTTGTTTATCGCTTTGGTAAGAAGATGATGACTTTATTTCGGGAAATCATGGAAAACTGGGACGATCTGCACCACCTCCCTAGGCCAGGTCCATTTCTGTTCATTTAGGTGTGTATGCGCATATGTATCAACATGTAGGCCTAAACATACTATTGTTTACATCAATGTAAAATAACCGTGTACATGTACAATAAGATGTATTATTACAGTCCGTCACAAACTGTAATGCAGTGCCTTGTGTGTATGCCCCCCCCCCCCAACCACACATAATAAAAGTTGCACACTTTTAACAATTTAATTTGCACTGAATATACAGAATTCTTATCATACAAACATGTTACATAATATAAAATGCACAGCATGACATGAATTGATATCAAATAATAATTTAGATGTAGTCACACTTGTAGTGTATAGGCCTACATGTATGTGAAGTCAAACTGCACAGTGCACAATGTATGTACACTGTAAATACAAGAGTTCAAGACCCTGTTAACTTTAATTTATACCTCTGACAATCAAAAATACCAATCAAAAATAAATGAAATTTAAGATTTCAGTTTTTTTTTTACCAGTGCTTCATATTTTAAATTTATTTTACAACTTATATCTATCTGTAGATCACTAGGCTGTAAATTTGTAGAATTTCTATATTAATGAAGATAAAATATTTGAATTTTCATTAGTCTGACTACACACAAATTAAGTCAGTCTTATATGTATATACATGTATTAATTTTATAAACTGTTTATATGTGCATTTTTTGCATTGTAGCTGCTAAGTGTTGTCTACAGGCTGAAGAATGAATAAAACTGGCATTACATCACCCAGAATTATCAAAATAGATCGATGCATCAGTTTCTCCACTAGGTATGATCACTACTAGTAAATAATAAAAAAAAAATCTCACATTCATTTTATAGTATGCCAGTGTAATATTTTTTTTTTCAATTTTGTTTAGGTGAAAGAATAAATGTTACCTCTAGTATATTGATTTTATTTTTTTTTTTAATTTAACTATAGCTACTAATCTTCTCTTGCCAATGTTATAGGTTTCAATTTCCCAGAAAAATTATGTATTAAAAGTTTGTTTCCATTTAAATTAGGAATTCCAGAAAATAAAGTGTAGCATGGTTAATGTTTTGCACAATGCAATGTCATTTCATTCTACAATAGTAATCATAATGTACCGTATATACTCGCCTATAAGTCGGTATTTTGGGAGTGGAATTTTTGTCCAAAACTCTATGTCCGACTTATAGGCGAGTCATAACACTTATAAGCGGGGAAATGGCAAATCCCTGAAAAATAACCTGGAAAATATACAACCGACTTATAGGTGGACCGACTTATAGGCGAGTATATACGGTATTTCACTCATTACATATATATTGTGTTGTAGCTCCTCCCAAACAATTTGAACAATTCATTCATTCAGGCAGCACGTGTTTTCACCAATCAAGTAAAAAGGTATGCTCATCAAGGCTGTAGGAACCGTGGGGGAGGGGGGGGGATAATTTTACCGACATATAGAATACTATAAAAACCATACCTATATGCTTGTGCACCCTCAGTAATAAACCCCGATGACTTTTTTTTTAAAAATTTTTCTTTATTTCTTTTTCCTGTCAAGGAATTTTTGGTAGTTGATATTACCCCCCATTTAAAAATGTATGCCGCCCCCCCCCCCCCCCCCTCAACTGTAATTGCTTCCTACAGGCCTGCTCCACATTGGCTAAATGTATAAACCATTATACATATTCCTGGCAAGATTGTTGAAATGATTAGATAATAAAAACAGTAGAATTAAAATATATACATGTATATGCTTTCTATGTTTCTCAACACCAATGAACTTTCCATAATGGTATTTCATTTTGTTTTCAGAACTGATTTCATCCAAAGGAACATGAACCGAATAATTTTGCACCTGCTCAGAATTACCTTCACAGCCTGCCTTTGAATTTGAAGAGCTGTGTTTATTAAATATATTTTCTACAAATATAATACTTTGACTTTTTAACTGTGCAGTGGTATGAAAGTTTGAAGGGTATTAAGATTTGAAACCTTAACGTGCATGTATTTTGTTGTTTGAGGTATACCAAATAGATCTAAATTTCAGCATGAATATTGTTGTGTCCACTTGTTTTTTTAAAAGAGTATCTGTTTCTTGATTACAATTTTTTTCCTATGTAATCTTGTTTGTGCATGGATTGATAGAAACTCAAAAAAAGGAGACTACCCCCCCCCCCCCCCCCATGTGATTTGTGCTAAAGTACCCAAAGAAGTAAAAACCTTATATAAACACGGTATAATAATTTATTTTTAACATGCAAGTACGGTATATGGTATCAAAGTAGCCAGAAGCAAACTGGTGGTGGTTGGGGTAGGGGGGAGGGGGTTAGATATATAGAAAGGGAAACGGTTATTAATTACACAGTGATGATTCCGTGAATTGGCTAAAATATCTGAAATAGGTTAGGGGTTGAAGGGCTGACAAAATATGGGCTTTAGCAAGCCCAAAATAGGTTAAAATGAGTGAAAAAATTGAAGTGTTCAACAACTTTTACATCATGACCTGGCTGAATGAACCGCATCGCCATTGTAAGGACGTCTTAATCGTCCCTATTGTTTGTGTTATCTTACTTGGAGTTGAAAGGAAACGTCAGCTGATTAGATCGAAACACGAACTAAACAACTTGAATTTTTTTTTAACCCGGACAAATTGGAAAGGGATCACTGCAAAAATAGAAAGTTCCAAAATATCGGAAAGCACTTGTAAATATCGGATTCTTGGATTCAAATTAGCGGAATTCCGCAAAATATCGGAACAGAATCATCACTGATTACAGGTGTAAGCACTCCAATCCCTTCCTCCTGGTTCTAAAAAACTTTTAACTTAGTCTAGAATCCCTAAACAGTAGAAGGTTTGATAGCTACTACAAGAATCACATAGAATATATGAAAAAAAAAAAAACAAAAAAAAAACTTAATTCTGTCAGACTGAGTTTTGATTTTTTTTTTTATTTGTGTACTGGGGGAGGGGGGTATAAATATTTAATTAATTGATAGGGCCTGTCTACTGTTTATTAGAAATGATTGAATCTTTCAATATTTTTTTACCATGGGTATGATTGTAGTGCGGCAAATTTTTGGCCTATTGTGAATTAACGTTTATATATGGAGCACGGGCCTCTGAATTTCTATCAATAAGCCGTTATATGATTGATCAGAGTGATATATATATATACCCCCTCTATATATAAATACATATATATGTATTTATATATAATAGAGGGGATATATATGTATTACTCCGAATCATATAACGGCTTATTGATAGAAATTCAGAGGCCTGTGCATGGAGGAAATGCGGAAGGTGTCAAAGACGTCTTGTGAAGCGTATAAAAGAACGAAGACATACAAAACAAAGTAAAGTCAAGGATTTTTTATGCATACCGTTCTGATTTAGTGAAAAAAAAAAGCCCAGCACAGTCCGTAGGTATTATTTGTTTAAACTTTGCGAGGTACACAAACTCTATTAAGAACTAAAGAGTTATCTCCCATGCTGGGTCAATGATGCGTTTGAAAACTATATTTAGAATGAATGTGTCAAGATTTCAATTTTTAATCAAAAAGTGCAAGGGCAAGGCGACAACCCAAGAAGTAGGTTTTTATTTTAAATTCTTTATTTTACTGTATAGTTTTTAAAAAGTGGTGCTCATTTCTTTGTAATTCATTAGGTAATTTATAATTTCCGATGGAATTATGAAAATACCCTATTTTTTTAATACTGGTGTTTGTTTTCAATGATTAACTTAAATATCTCAGAAATCTAACTGACTGAGCATCAGTTTTGAGATAGGATAGATATCAAGGGACACACTGAAACATTGTGCAGTTTATTTTTTGTTTGCCTTGCCCTTGCACTTTTTGGTTAAATTTGACATTTCATATTTTGACCCTAAATCGGATCCCACGTGACTGTAGAGGGTCACATGATGAAAAAAAATACTGATCTGAAAAGCGATGAACATACTCTTCAAAATGCCATTAAGATATTTCAAATAGAGTTTCGTGCTAAAAAATAAGACAGTTTAATTTTAAGTGTCTCGTTTCTGGTGCCTTTTGAAAGAAAATGTTGCCTTAACCGTACTGCGTAATTATAGCCTTAAAATATTTCTGAATCTAAGGAGAATCCATAGTGTGCAAGTCCCTCTAGGATACGGCGAGTTACATGTACCCCATAAACTGCATATTTCACTTACCCCTTGAGAAGAAGGTGAACATCACCTATTTACACCCTTCCTACTACCATTCAAAGGAAGCATTTCTCAATTTTAAATTTTAATTCTTTTCCCCACACACTCTCCTTCCGTTCTATGACCTAAGATCTGCCCAACCCATCCCGTATACATGTACATCCTAAGACATATTTATGGGGGAAAAACTTTTTAATTGGCACTACTTGCCATACTTATACTTTCCAACATCAAATTAAGGGTTACAAATTCGAACATTTATTTTAATTTCCTTTTTGTTTTACTTTGTTTATTGTTTACTCGTTTATTTTCTATAATTATATGTTTCATTTTAAATTCATTATTATTATCGAGTACGTGGGATATTGAAAACATGCCCCCCCCCCCCCCAAAAGCCTCAAGTTGTTCTCTAAAAATAAAGTTTTAAAACTTTAATTTTAAATCTGTAAAAGTTTTGGATCCTTCCCTCAACACTGCTGACATCATTTGTTTCGCATCACTCTCATGGGTAATATAAAGATTAGCGTTAATTGCGTTATGATTAGATTCATTCTAAAGCTACACGAGAGAAAATCCACAGAATTTCTTCCCATGACAATCGCTATTACGGAGCAGGTAATTTAGACCCCTGCAAGAGTTTCTGGTTGTTCCTTTACTCTATCCCCATCCATCTGTAAGTTCAAAATTGTCCTTTTTTAAATAAGAAATTGCATTTAGTTACCGGTACAACATCTATTGAGACAAACTTTGACAAAAGTTTGTTTTCTATGTCTTATCAAGATAGAGACTGGCATGATGGGATAATTTTGTAATAATAAATAGGCAAAGAGAGGAGGGATAACTTCTGGAAATGTCTTTATACAGATTGAGTAGAAAAGATGAACACTTTAAATAAATCAATGTGGAATAAATTAAGTAATGGCTTCCCAAAATCACAATTGACTTTATTTTTCAAAATATTGTTTAAAATGAAATAAAAGTTTGAAAACAAATGATATTGATTTATACTAGGCGATGTTCAACCCGGGATATGTGTTCACCCTAAGTCTCTAGCCCGAAGAGTTGTAACACAGAGTGATACGCACGCTAGCTCTGGTTCTACTGTCGATACATTCCTAACTCAAGATGACTTGGCATCATTTATATCAGGCAGCAGTCGACCAAATCTTTCAGATGTTGATGAAGAAAATTAATACATGTAGTACTCATTTCAATACTTAATTGTATATTTTTATATTTATTTTACATGTATCATTTTAGATCAACTGAGTCACTCAGACGACCCATAGTAACATGGTATTGGTTTTAAAAAATGGATAATTCTTTTTATTAAAAAAGCTGTCTAATACCCCCTGACGCAGTAGACAGGACTAGTGAAGGGATCTAAATTTCCATATAGAAATGTATAAGATATTTTAAGAATTTTTCACGAACAGCAAGGATACAAGTTGTCAAGATACACATGTATATGACCCCTCCCCCCCTCCCCTCCCCCCTCAAATATTAAAGATTCAAGAGTTTTAAAAGCAATACCCCGGTACAGAGATGTGGCCATAAAAGCGTCAAATGTTTTACAGGGATATCTTTACATACAGGAGTAGAACGTCTTATTATCACAAAGTTTTTTATTCACAAATTGTTTTTATGATGTATTTTTCATTTTGTTAGTTTTGTGTCAAAGAATAACATTATATCATAAATGTATTAAAGAAAGTTCCCAAGAAAAATAATGCTTCAGATTGTCAAATTATTATGAAAATATCCTCATAAAAAGTACATTCAGCTTTGTTCACAAGAATGCCCTTTCTAAGAAATGGAATTACCTTTGGATTGTCACCTTAAACAAACGAGGAAAACGTTGCGCGAAAAGAAACCCTCTTATCCTTGTGAAACGTAAAATACTTGTAAGGTCCAAATCGCTTTTTGAAACCAATACGAACGTACATGTAGTGTCAAAATTCGGCATTAAGTAAACTGATGTTGTGTTTTAGTTTTCTGTGTTTCGAATGTCTAACGTTTTGTTCAGCATGATTAAGTGTGCAATAAATTGAATTAAAAGTCATGGTGTTATTTTTGCTCATTATTTGAAAGATGGAATTGTGCAGTCAAAACAATTAGACAAAAATGAGCGGTAATAAATTTGTAATCCACAGAAACGAACTGTATAATAAACCTCTACGCACGATAATTAAATACGCTCGAGAATTGAGGTTATTTCATAGGACATTTAAGGCTTATATAACTCTTAGTTTACTCTACATACACAGAAATACTGCGTTTTAAACGCTTAGTTTAGAAATTAAGGTCAGACGGCGTTTCTCAAATATCTGTTTTGTATACATTGGTATTATATAAAAAAATATTCATAATTGTCATTCTCTTGTGATTTCTAAATTGTTTTCAATATGTTTTAAAATATTAGTACACCAAAAAACTGTGACAGTGACAGTTCAAAAGATTATCCATAAGGATTATATAAGAAATATCACCATCTGGTATCTTGGCAAAGTGCCTGGAAGGGTACCTCAATTTTTGGCGAGGAAACCTGTTTAATGCCCAATGACAAAATCTTGGGAAAAATTATATATTTTCGAAGAACGTGTCGTCTGACCTTATTGCAGGTATTTGTCTTTTATAAAAGGAAAGAGAGTTTCACTAAGTAGGGATAGGTAAAGGCATTCATATTTATTACAATAAATATTTGGGTATTGGGTTAAAAAAAACCGTAATAGAAATTGTTACTCAGCCTCCTTTTCAACTTTTTGAAACTGTTATAAGCTCAAATTAGTATTATTTTCCAGAGACTTTTTATCTTCAACTGATCAAAGAATAATAATGAATTTTTTTACAGTCGAACTTAGGTATCTCGAACACGGATACCTTGAATACCATGGATATGTCGAAGTGATCTGGAAGTCCAAGCACTTTTTCTTTAACTATTTTACCCTCAACATCTCGACCCCGGATATCTCGAAGGTTTTTCTTGGGCCCATTAAGTTCGAGATAACGAAGTTTGACTGTATTTAGATGTTTTTTTTTCCGTTTCGACGAACTGTTCTACTAAAGTATAGACGTAGCTAAAAAGAAAATGAATTGTGATTTTTAAAATAGGATTTAGCATGATTCTAATAGTACATTTTCAAGAAACATAATTATGTTATAATTAATATAATTAAATATCAAAGTCCTTTACCATAGTTTTTTTTTTTTTTTTTTTTTTTTTTTTTTTTTTTTTTTTTTTTTTTTTTACATATGCTATCCCTCCTACATTTTTACCTGATTTCTAAAGAACTTTATATCTTATTAGTACATTATAAAAACACCCCACTAATAAATTTTCATTTGCTGAGCAGTGTCACCATAGTTTCTGAAAGGAATAAAAACAGCTTGTTTACTTCTTTCAAAATGTCATTCCTTTCAGTATTTTTTTTTTCGATTTGAGTAAAACAAGTTTAAAAGGCATCTGAAATGTGTAATTGTTTAATGTGCCTTAGTTCTCTCGCCAAATAAGGCAGGCAAATAAGACAAAACACCTTATAGAAGTTAAAACAGTCATCTATTGAAGCAGTAAAACATGTAGATAACAATGCAAAATTGGGGGCAGAAAGGGGGACTCAAATTTGGAGTATTATACACCTTACGTAATTGTCTCACCTACTGCACATTTAAGAAATGTTTTTAAGTTTTGTGTGAGTTATTGGTGTGTAAATCAGACAGACTTGTCATGTGGGCATATTTCATGAAGCGCGCTAGCGCTTCATGAAAAATATGCCTACGTGCAAGTGTGTGAGATTTACACACCAATAATTCACACTAAACTTAAAAACATTCCTTATATTTACATTTTACATGTTAAAATGCACCACAAATATACTCAATGTTTGAATTTCTCGCTGCCCTATATCGTCAAATTTTTATTAACGTCTCTGTAGTCTCATTGTGACGTCACTTTAACGTGAGTTTCTCCGTGTATATTTCTACAAAAATGGCTTTCAAATCAATTTCACAGTCGGCTTAGTAGAAAAATGCAACAAATGTAAATATATACATATCATGTACAAGTACATGTATTTTACTGTACATGTAAGTTAATTCCTCTTTTAAACATAAAACGTTTAGAAACATAATACAAAAAAATCCCCTAAACTGCAGCCTTTCATCAACGAAAAAAGAAGGTAGGTAAGACAAATAACTACCAGCGGCGGTAGAAGAACTGGAAGGTGGTCTAAAACAATTCAGGAGCTCAAATCCCTTCTGGTAGACAGACCAGTAAGGATCTCATGATGACAAAGAGCCTGAGGATTAATAGAATAGTATCAAGGTAAGTCCTTCCAAGTCTTTAACTGACTAGGAAGAGAATTTGTCAACATTATGAAAAGACGTCCATGTTTGTTTACTTTCGAAGGTACACTGTACCTTGTTAATTCCAGTCCTGTTCTATCCAGAGCATTATTTATTAAAGACCAACATTATAATTGTATTACTTTGGTTGCAGTGATTAATTTTATTATTATTTTATTAAAAGGTACTTTTGAAATTGTTTTAAGCTCACCTGAGTCGAAGGCTCAAGTGAGCTTTTCTGATCAAAATTGGTACGTCCGTAGATTGACTGATTGATTCTATATTGTTTTACGTCCCATTCGTGAATTTTTCACTCATATAGAGACGTCATCATATACCGGTGAAGGGCTTCAAATTTTGACCTTTACTCGGCACTCAGGGCCATTGAGCAGTGAGGGATCTTTATCGTGCCAACGCCTGCCGTGACACGGAGCCTCGGTTTTTAAGGTCTCATCCGAAGGACCCGCAACTTTTCTTTTTTGCGTCATCAAATGTACAAAAAAATTAATAATAAATAAATTTCAAATACCTTATCATCAAATCTTTTTTGTTGTTGGTTTTTGCTCTTAGTTTAAAAGATAGAATTGTGGGTCATTGCAGGTAGATTAAAAAGAACGAGTTTATTACATGTTTTGTAGTCTACTTACGTCTCTTTCAAAATGTCGATTTAATTTAAACAAGAAAAACATTCAACAGTCTGGAAAATGGAGGAAATAGCTTAAATAAAATTACTTGCAAAGAATATATTGTACAAACCTGATTTTTTTTTTTTGGATGTCACAGTTGATATTTAATTAAATATTGTGTTAATAAATTATATTTGATTAGCGCGCATTGCTAATCAAACATAGCGCCGTCTGTGTGAATGAGTGCCATGTGTGAATGTTTTGTTTTGTCACGTGATATTTCTATTTTTAGTTTACAAACTGACCAGGTATACGAATACGACCAGTGGACCAATGATAGACCAGATAATTAATATGCATGTATACTAACTTCGTGCACTACATAAGCGCTTATCCCGCCAAATCAAATAACTATTAGATTTCTACCTTTACGGTGTAAGAGGTCCAAACCTTTATGTTTGAAGTCATCGACTTTCACGATGATGTGATAATTATATTTCATATTTTATAATAATGGATACCTGGTAAGATTTATTTCTAATGATGTAAATACTTATTAAACCAATTTCGATAATACGTAATTTATCTTTATTGGCAGCGACGTGAATTTTCATGTTGTGTAATTTGTAATTTTGTTTAATGTGCTGTATTTGTCTCTTGTTAATGTGTGTGTGTTGTGAGTGTGTTTTCTATGTTTTCTAGGTTTCATTTCTTTGTTATCCTCATTAAAACTTCATAAATCCGAATCCAGCGTTATATTCTTTAACGATGACCCTGTGACATATGGCGCCCACGTTAATGATGTTACTGTGAGGGAACCAGGGTCCAGATTCCAGTTCCTGGGACAAGGCCGAAACGCCACTCGCCAGTGCCGCTGTGACGACCAACGCCAAAATTCCAGAAAGTAGGCCTACAATTTTCATTCTACATAATCATGACAAGTGAGTTCTATTCATGATTGTACTCAGTACGTGCTTCGAGTCCGTACGGAATCAGTGCACTTAATAAATATTTTACGCTGTCTACTACCCAGTAGTAGTAACAATTTCTAAACCTGTTACTCGAGTCTACCTGAGTTCATTTCAGGACAGGTGTCCACTGTCCAGTGATCCGTAAACTAACTGACATCTGTTTTGTGCTAGGAAAAGAATTTCGCGCTACAAGTTATGAAAAGACCCTATCGCGGTGAAACTATCCATTCAGCTGTTCAGTGATTCATATCTTTGGCCAGTGAAAAAAAAAAAAATCTATCCAGATATATCTGTGCTATTAATTACTATTTATGTTCTGTGTCTTTGTGTTTTGTATTGTATTGTATATGTCTGTGTATTATTTCATGTTCAGTGTATCAGCTGTGTATAGTGTGTGAGGTTGCCGGCTTTGTGAATGTGTGCAAGATGTGTAAAAAGATCGGGCTCGATATTCATGTTTTCATTTGTTTTGGTTTTGAACTTCCGGAAGTGTAGAAAAAACGTGTTTCTCAAATGTTCGACATGTTTTGATAAACTTTGAGCTGCCAAACGCGTATGTTCAATATGGTAAACAATTTTTCTGTGTATTTTGAATGTCTGTGATGCATTGTTGTTCACTGTCAATGTACTTTTGTCTGTCAATGTCATTGTCTGTTGTACGTTGTGTGGTATGTGTTACTCGTACAGTAGGCTAGTTTACAGTAGTTTGAAAATCATTCCCTGCGCGCGATCACATTTTCAGTTGCAGCATTACTAACCAAAGTACGGGACTTCAAAACAGGACAGCGGGTCAAAGCAGACAGGTATATTTGTACATATTTTCAGGTTTATTGTTTGAACAGATTTTGAATGCGTGATTGTGTGTTGACAGATGCGCTTTGCGATAAGTTTAATTTTGCTTGCGACTTGGTGTCAGTCTTCTGATCATCCTCAAATCAACATGGCATTTGGTGGTGATGAAACCATGGGTAAAAAAGATTTGCAAGAAATTATAGATCAAATTAATGCAGAACCACATTACAGAGTAATACCAAAGGAAGAGTATGACATGTTAAAATCACAGAAAATTCCTACTAGTACCCCTAAGGTTCAGC